CATAATTGCAGAAACTGTATTCTTGCTCCCACCTCCAGAACCTCTACTTCTACTGAACACTAAGTTTACTCTACCTCACAACGCTTTTAGTTTAGGTAGAGGGCTGCAAACATTTTCAACAGAACTGCTTGTAGGACAAACCACATATACCCCACCAGTCATCTTACCTCATTTTTTTCTATTATGACCAAAGAAAGTCTGAACATAAGAAAAGCCTCACACAAAAAAGAAGATATATTCTCCCAACCTCTTGCATTCAGTGGTCTTCAGCCATAAATATAGCCACAATGTCAATATCCCAGGAAAACAATAACAGTTTCCTTGCTGTTATCCATAACATGCTGCACAGCATACTTGCTTACTGGAAGTTTACATTCAGTTTTTCTCTCTACTCAGGACCAATGTTCCCTCCAAGCTGAGTTAGTGTGAGCTAGCTCACATTTTTATAGCCTCCAGCTCACACGTTTTTATCTTATGTCAGGAACAATGGCTCCAGAGAAAACCAATTTATTCAGCAGCCAAATTGCTTGCTCACAACTTTAATGCCAGAAGCTCACAAAGACTCCACAGCTTAGAGGAAGCATTGATCAGGACCCAGATAGCTTATACTGCTGGCCCATAAGTTATGCATAATGCTCACTTCCCACCAACTCTATTATAAATGTTCTACATCTTCCACTAGAAGTGCAGTGAACATATGCCATAACAGCCGGCTTGTAAATAACTGCCTGGTTGCTTATAACAATATAAACTAGGACCTGCAAAGATGCTCAAGAAGACATCAACACATTCTGAACATGCTCAGAGGCTCTCTTACCCCAAGAAAACACATGGCATTGAAATGCTGGAATTCTCCACCAACGACAAAAAAAATCAGGATACACTCAAAATAACGGCTGTATTATTACTAGGAACCAGTAGAAGACACAGCCCTTACTGCCAGGCGTTAGCAGGCACACGAGGGCAGCAACGAGGGGGGAAATGTTAGCGTCCCTGACAGCGGAGATGCTAAGCGAAGGAGAAGAAACCAAATAACAGTGGGGTAAGGAAGCAGCAGTTTTGCCACCAGAATGTAAGCGAGTGAGGCACACAGCTTTGCAGAACGGAAGGCCTGAAAGCAAGAATTTACTCCAGGTAACGGAGTTGTATGCAGAACCGAGGACGAACGTGGAGAAGGAAACGACACGAAGAAAAAGGATAAGGAAGACAAGAAACCTCAAGGCACAACCGAGAGAGGGCGGCGGCCGCTGAAGAAAAAGGAAAAAGAGAAAACCCAATACAGAGAGAGAGCGCGCACACGCACCCCGGGGGAACCGCCAGCTCCTGCCCAGAGAGAACCAAAAGGGCCCCTACCCTGCACCACGTTCCGCCTTGCTGCCAGTACCGCTGCCGCCAACGGTGACAAACGCTGCCCGCCACCGCCCAGATCCACCCCGTGCGCGCCCCCGCACTTCCGCGACACCCACCTCTCGTCACTTCCCCTAAGGCGGCAGTGCCTAGCTATTCCCCGTCGGTACGTCACTTCCGGTGAGCGGACCGTTTTATTTCCAGTGCCTTACGGGTGTCTGGTAAAGGGGGCGGAGAAAGAGGGAAGCGAAACAAGCGGGAGTGGGTCTGAGACAACACATTTAATGGCTAGAGTGTGTCTAGTCGCTGGGTTACCAGATGTCTTCTTTTTAGAGGACATGCGCTCTTTTGGGCTCTTTTTTAAAAACTGATGAAAATGTCCTTTTTGGGGTCGGAAGATTAGGAATATGCTTAGTTAGTAGCAATTTTCACATCTTAAATAGGAGAAGTATTTAAAATGAGTTTTGTTAGAGTAATAACTCGTTTGAAGTAGTTGGGAAATATGTCCTCTTGCCTTTCACAATATGGTAACCCTGCTAGTCGTCTTTCACACTTTTCCCGCCCGGCAGCCATCTTGGAACGGGAATAGCGGTTTTCCTTCCTGCTCTTATAGGGCGGTTTAAGATCTCCGCTTCTTGAGCTGTCAGGGAAAGTAATGCGGTCTGAGCCAGCTCTTAAGAGGGAAGGTAGCTTAAACAACACCACCTCCCCGTCTTTCTTGTCGGTATTTGAAAAAACAGAATCATGGTTCTTCAGTCCCTAAATCAAGTAGAGTTGCCAGCCTCCAGGTAGCATCTGAAAATCTATTACAGTTGATCTCCAGGTGACAAAGATCGTTTCCCTTGAAGAAAATGTCTACGTTGGAGGGTGAACTCAATGCCATTATACCCTGCTGAGGTCTCTCCCCTCCACAAATGCTGCCCCCCAAATTTCCAAGTATTTCCCAGCCCAGAGCTGGCAACCCTATATATCAAGTCTGTTGTAACCACAGGACTTTAACTCATTTAAGGGATAAGTATGCAAGGTAGCAAATTAAATCTTGGTTCAATACAGCTGTCTCTTTTTATCACTCTCCAAGCTCAGGGTGGCCTACTCAAAAAGTCCCTTCCTCCCATGTAATCCACACAGCAGTTCTAATGTTGAAACCAACAGGACTTTAAGGACTAACAATTTTTTATCCCTGTTCAACCTTTTGTGGAAATGTGAACGTGTGTAATACAGCTCAATGTGAAAAGCTAAGCAGGGTTAGTACTTGAATGGGACTTAAATCAGGGCTAATTTTGAGCAGGAACGCACAGGAACAGAGTTCCGGCTGGCTTCAGAGATGGCCACGCCCACTACAGCCGAAACCTCTGCTTGCGTGGCTACAGAGGGAAGGCCTGGAGAGCGACCTCCCAGCGACTCCGAGGCAGGTGGGCTGGGGGCTGGAAGGATCCCCGTGCCTTCCCCAGCCTGTACAAGGGCCGGCTTGCCCGGCCTCCCCGCAGCCACGGGGCACCTGGGCAAGCCAAGGGAAGCTATGGGGTTGTGGCCTAATATGCTAATGAGTTCCTGCTGTTGGATGTGGCCTGTTATGCTAATGAGTTCCTGCTGGGCTTTTCTACAAAAAAAAGCCCTGCGTAAATTAAAGCAGTTGCAGCAAACTACCTCTGCTTACTCACCTGCCTCAAAGACCCCATGGGATCACCATAAATTGGCTGCAACTTTATGGTATTTAACAAATGCAAGCTTTTGTGAAGTCCACTTCTTAGCTGCACTGTGGATCTTCACAACGTAGGCATTTTATGCATAAGGGAAAGGGTCAAAACAAAAGGCCATGAAAGTGCCAAATTGTAATTACATGAAATTCAAATCTAACCAAGAAAAACAGATCAAGATGGGTAGCTGTGTTAGTCTGTCTGTAGCAGTAGAAAAGAGCAAGAGTCCAGAGAACTACTGGACTTTTGCTCTTTTTTACTGACACAGCTACCCATCTTGATGTATCTCCATGGAAGGCACTACATTGAGCAGTACAAATGGAAATCCATCCACCTTGTGAAGAAATTACACAAATACAGACATCTTTCTCACCAAATGCACAAGAGGCAATTCTTTAGTTACAATAAGCTAGTTAACACCTGTAACAGGTGGGAAATTCCAGCTTTTGATAAGGTGCATAACATGAGATAAAATGGGGATTGGGGGTAGCATGAAATATTTGAACCAATGGCATTTTTTTGTTAATGTCAGATTGTGTCGGTTTCTTCTCCAGACTAACCTGTTTGACCAATGTGGAGCAGAGAGGCACCATTAACACATGATAGCATATATCCTGTTGGACAACAATGAGTGGGCCCGAGTTCATATAGCTGATGTAGTAGAATCCTGTAGTAGTATTATCTCCCTATATATGAAAGCAAAGTTGACCTGTTGGCTTGTTGCAGGGTCTGATCTGTAGGTTTGTCTCCTTTAGGTGGCCCATTGCTGGTAAAAAGCTGTCTTAGGTTAAGGGGTTGTTTTAAAGCAAAGAAAAGCTCAGTAAGGCAATGTACAACATAAGGACTGAGTGGTCTGCTGAACAGCAAGCAGTTCTATGGGGAAGAAGCTTCACTCATCTCTTCTGAATCAGCACACAAATAACATTTCTTGAGACCACTGAACTCAGGTGTGGAATTCAGTATTTAGGTTGTGATCTGATTATTACACTATGAACTGCACAATACAAACTAGGTAATGGCTACAGCCAATCATATTTGCCTTCTAGGGTGTATGAACCTTCAATTAATATACCATTTGTTAACCTAATCAATTATTTCCTCTCATTATACTTGATGCATTGTTACTTGATCAGTTTGCTTAGATTCCATTGTTCAAATCCATGTCTCTATTTTCAGTGAAGACTTTAAAGAGGAAAGAGAGAGCAGTTTATTTTTCAACTTACATCCTGTTCCTTCCCCGGCCAAGCAGTTCAAGGTATACATACATCATATATAACAAATGGTGGGGTACAGGTATGTTCTATATTATCCGTTCCTCATCTGGTGACAGGTTAGTTTGGCGCCTTTTTCTTTCTCAGAAAGCATAGTACAGTACCAAGGGGACGCAATACATAGCACCCAGCAGGTGCTAGTGCTAATTCTCAAATACACTGGCAACTGTCCAAGACAAATGCTTTCCTATTGAAGGAGTATCTTAAAAGCTAACTAACTACACTTATAAATTTCTGCACAATTAATATTTTTCCTTAAGACATTAAATATTTAATTGCGCCTTATCCATGTAAGTGAAGATTCCAATCTTCCCAAACATTCTTTTCCCAGACAGGCTTTTAGTAAAGTTGTTTATTTTGTTGGGTATGATATTAATTTTCTGTTACTTCTCAGTTCATTTTTTAAAATCCTCCTGGGCTGTTGATAAGCTTGATATTTTGATTTGTTTTATTATATTTGAACAGCACTTTATTAACCACACTAACTATGGCAGAAGAGAATGTTTAAAAATACATTTAACAGACCCAGCTGCAGCAAACATACCAAATGGACATTTGTGTGATAAATAACTGTGAAGAGCATTAATTTTAGAAATAGACTCTATTTATGAAACTCTGGATTACTATAGAATACCTACCTCATCCAAAGAAATATATCTGGGAACTATACCTTACACATGTTGCCATATCTTCCACATAAGATCATAATTACAGGCCTTCAGTGGAGTAATATATTTACAGTAGTTATTAATGTTTTATAAAGACTGATATGAAAGCAAACAAACTGTGAATATCAAGTAACTGACAACTCACATTATCCAGCAAGTATCTTACATTTGTTCCACTGCTATATAGTTTATTACCAGAGACATTCAAGGATCTTCTGCACTGGTCGTTATACACAAGAAACTTTGGTATTTCACCACATCCACATTTTCAAAGTATTGAAGCTTTCTTATTCTCTCTGCCCCGACCACCATTAGAAAGTTAGGGTGGCAAACACATTAATGGTTTACATCTTTAAAATGGAAAGTTCGTTCCTGTATTAGAATTCATATAAAAGGGCTGGAGTCTTAGAATATGGGATGTGCCCTTGGATGGGACTGTCACCATGTTTCCAACAAATCTGGATTTATCCCAACACAAGATAAAAACCACTGTCACATTACTGTGATGTACATTTCCATCCTCCCCATTTCACAAAAACCTGAACACAGTTTTATACCAATGTATTGGAAGTTGTGAGACCAGAGTACACTGTAAAAAATGACAAACAGATTTACTTTTTAAAAAAAGAATTCAATGTGAAATTGCGAGTTGAAAGACTAAATCTTTACTTGGCATGTTGGAGTCACTGAATTCACAGCAACTATTTTACAGTAAAAATACTGAGGTGGGACCAGCACTGAACTTTGGAATCAAGTGTTAAATACAAAAACGACTTTAACAAGAAATTCACTCCCTCTCCATAGCAGAGGGTGGAGCTATTTTACTGCAGAACCCCACCACCACTTCCCTGCAAAAAGCAGTCACACTGGTTGGCTTTAGCACAGACAAAAAGAGAAGAGTCAGCACACAGGAGATGGGGGGATGTACAAGTTTACAAGCCCCTACTGGGACATAGTGGAGGAGAGAGACCTGAGAAAGCAGAATCCCTCCCCATGGGAAGGGCAACTCAGCACCAACTCTGTCACCAGGGGCCTGCAGGCAGATTCCTGCTCCCCAACAAATCTTGGCTCCTGCAGCCCCAAGGCTAGGCTTCAGCTGCAACAGGAAGCAGACATTTACAGCTCTAGACACATTTCTAATTTATTACTGCCAAGGTGAAAAAGACACCAAGGCCCAACAGGCAACCAGTAAAATTTTTCCCAAAAATAACTCAGTACAAAACAGATCTGTTTCAGAATTTTTAAAAAAAGAAAGAAACCTTTACATGAGTTTAAAACCTATTCCAAAACATAAAAGTAAAACAAATTCCATCCTTGATATTAGTAGCCGCCATACACCCTTCCCCTCCCCCTGGGGAGCATGGAATGAGATGTCTGCAGTCCTTTCCATGCACAAGATGCGCCAACTGGTTTAACTGGTATCCATCTAGAAGAAAATAAAGACAGTTACTTGGCTACCATCAGCAGCACAGCCCAATCTGAACTCTATTGTCACCATTTAGCAATTGTTATGTAGTTTCAAAAAACTGATTTACAGAGTTGTTCAATACATGCAAGGGGCTGTTCTTTAACCCAGGATAATATCCTTGCTACTACTTCAAGCATCACCATTTGGTAGTTGTGATAGGTTACTGGAATTCCCTGCTAGCTCCAAATGATGCTATTAGAAAACACAGATTTCCTGGAGATCAGTCTTGTTTTGACAGGAGCTTCATCTATCACACTTAGCAGCAGCATCTAATTCTTACATCTGATGCCAGACAATCTTAGGATCTCCTGGCTATTCTACACACAATGCCATACAATAGTCTACTCATTAAAAACAGTGGATGAAAGGCTTTACATAAACATAGCATATACAAAAGTTTCCATTCAATACTACTTGCCATCCTGTAATAAGTTAGGTACTGGAAACCAAAAATAAGTATCAAAGCTGTATTTGGTATTCAGGAAACAGGATGTAACGCAGAATCAGCAACTTGCTACTCATATTTAGTGAGCGGTTTTAGGCTTCAGTCCTAAACAGACTTCTGGGTGAGCATGCTCAGGATTGCACTATTAAGAATTGTTGCAAACAAATGTAGTTATAAAATTCTCCCCCAATTTCCCTAATCAGTGTATCATTTATTACTACCTTACGACAGACTGGGAAGGGTCACCCACTATTACTTACCCTGGCATTATAAGCATCCAACTGTGCATCCAGTTCTTCTGCAGAGAGCTGCTGCTTGGAACTCCTGCCAGCACCTCTACCTCTGCCTCTGCTGCCACGGCTGCCTCGTCTGTTACCACCACCAAAACCACCTGAGCCACCACGGTTTCTGGTCATGCCTCCTCTGTTTACACTAAAGTCAAAAGGAAAAATTCAATAAGCTATAGTGTCAGTAACCCCGGAATCACTCGCTACAAAGAACTGTCCATGATTGATGAAGAGAAAGGTGGCAACTCTGCCAAGGCCTGAAGACAGTCAGAAAGCTGTAATACTTTTATCTAATCACTGTCAAAGATAACAGATGTTTGATCATGTGATTATGCCATACTCTGAGCTCTGCATGTCACCAGACAAAATCCAACCCTTTGGGGGCACAGGAGAACAGGCTAAACACATCAATGGCAACCATAATTTTTAATCAACCTGTCAAAATCTATAGAAAGAAACATGTTAAAATAAAAAAATCATGCTTCAAAAACCCACATGGATCAAGGGACTCTCACCTAGCTTTAAGCACTCTCTAAATCAAGGGTGCGAGCATATGTTAACTCTTAACAAGGAAAGCTAAAGTTAGCCTTTGCTATACAACTGCAAACATCAAAAGTAAGTCTCCTACCTCTGTATTGGTCTCCTCTGTGTATCAATTTGTGACGTAACCAGCTGGATGTTCATAGGACGTCCTAGGAAAAACAAAAAGAATTCCAATTTATGATCACGACTGAGTTTGACTATCTCCCAGCCACTAAGTGAATACCTTGATGAACAGCATGTACATACCATCTAGGGGGACTCCATTATATTGTTTCATAGCTTTCAGAGCATCTGCCTTTCTCTCAAAATGTACATCTGCTGTACCTAGACTACGACCAGATCGGTCATAGTGCACTGCCGCCTTCTTCAACGTCCCAAACTCTGCAAAAAGCTCCTGAAACATGAAGAGAGATACATCATATAGCCTGAACAGTGTGAGAAGTGCTTACAAAATTATCTAATACCACCGTACAAGCAGGCAAGTGGTCTTACACTGCAGCATCTAAGCCAATCTCTTATGCTGCCTATAGCCCATTCTTCCCCTTCAACATACAAAACCCATCTTCCAGCATTTGCCAGGTACTGTCACTCAGAAAAAGAAACCTGTTAGAGGGCCAGATAATAGAGATGGCAGAAAACTCTTCTACTTTGCCATGATCTATTGCTTTTTATTGTAGCTATGAAGTTCATGATCAAATCAGTATGCATTCCTTTTCTGCTTAATTTACCACCCAGGGTTAAAGTGGAATACACTCTCTACACACTGTCATTGCCTACCTGTGTATACCTTCCCAAACAAGCTACCAGCCCTGCATGACGCTGATGCAACTAAATTAAGGATAGCAGTGGAGTAAAAATGTGTAACCACAAATTTTACACAGGCATTTATACAACAACTCTACTGAGCAAAGTACGAAGCTTCCCTTGGTCTAAAAAGGCTTCCATCAACTTAAGTGACTCTTCCTCCAGTGGAGGAACTTCCTCCTGTTTAACGCAGGACAGACAGCAGAGGGTTTTTTTAAACACACACAATTGAAGCATCCTCTCTTCAACAAATTTGTTCTAGGATGAAGAAGCAACCAGTGGACATTCTAGCTTTCTCTGAGTAGAACAGTCACCGCACCTAATTCACATACTGAAAAAGTGCCTTTAATTCTATGCTGCTTTTAAAGGGATACAGCTCCAGCGAAAGACTCAAGAAAACCATGACCCCAGAGCCACTATAAGACTCACTGAAAAAATCAGGTTACTGTACTCTTTAGAAAAATGACCCTGTGTCTCAACTGATACGTTCATGGTTCCTTTGCAAGAAAATCTACACTAGGACTACAGTCACACACACTAAATAGTTCACTTTCAATCCACTTTCAGTGCCCTTTCCAACTGGATTTGTGTGTGTGTGTGTGTGTGTGTGTGTGACCACAGCCTAATTCAAGCATTCCTTTTTTCAAAGTTGCTATAAGGCAGATATTTTGCAGCTATCACATAAAAGAATGAATATTTGGAGGGAAAACAATGCTGAAGATGATACCATCAGTAACTAAGACATCACAAATTGTTGTGTTTTGCAGCCAATTTATCAAACAGACCTTACCATGGGGGGAGGCATCATCTTTCAAAGCCAATGCTAAATGAATGGAACCTTTATTATTTAATGTTACCATAACTCAGACAGAATAGCCTTACATAACCCCAATTTTATCGATACTCACATAGCACATTACTTAAAGTAAGAATTGTTGTTTTAGGGAGGGAAACCCCAAAACACTAGCTTGCATAAGATTATCCCAAACTCAAAAAGTAGCCAGAAGAATAGATCAACTAATTATGTTTTTCTTGTACACTATATTTTAAATAAAATGAAAATGTACATACTGTCAAGAACTGCCTATTGCTTTATACAGGAAATTTGCAAAAACAAAGAGACACTCATTCACAATGAAGACCCTGAAACCTATCACATTAGCTATGACTGTTCTGCACCCACAGCCATCTCAATTATAAGCAAAAGTTAACACTTACCTGTATATCTGCATCGGAGACACCAAAATCCAGATTAGAGACAAGGAGTTTCCCACCTGTCTCCACACCAGCGCCAGCACCAAATCCACTATCAAACAGGTCATGTTGCCACTTATCAGGGAGCTGTTTTGGCTGTAAGCAAAACTACAATCTCAGTACGCAGATCCCAACGTCCCAAGCGAATCTTCACCATATTCCTCCACTTCGATGACCCTCCTTTTGCTTTTTCCTTGGTCGCCCACCCACCTACATACTCCGCAGTACTTCGATGCAAAAACCAACGATGTGAACCTCCTCCGACTCAGTCGCAGGTCCATGAAACACCATTGCAAAAAAACCTGACCAAAAGGCCTGGCATCCTAAAGCACTAGTCCATATCCTTTCCCCAAAGCAATATTTAAAAAGGAAGTCGCAGGATCAAGTTCTTCCCCGACACAAAGAGTCTAACTTGCCTCCCACCGTAAATGCCGTCCATCCTGGACCAGGAACTTACCCGGCTGTAGGGTGCAGGCCTGTTTCTGCCGCCTCCCCGGGCGAGGGCGGCCCTGTTCCGCAGGGGGCCACCTCCCGCCCGCCCACCACCACCTCGGCCGGTCCCACCACCACCGCGGCCAGAGGTTCCTCTTCCTCGGCCTCGACCACCGCCAGCCCGGCCGCCACCACCACGTTGGCTCCGGTTCAGCTTGATAATATCGTCCAAAGACATATCCATTTTGTCGCCCATGATGGCGGCTTCCTCCTTCTCCAGGGGCCTACGCTTCCGGCCGCGCTACACCGGGGCCGGAAGCGGATAGGGCGGATATAAAAGGAGAACTGAGAGGGCTCACGTGCAAGGATCGATTTTGTGAAATAAAGAACCGGTCTTCATTGGCGCGCAAGGTTTTATGGGACCTGAGCGCGCGAGGGAGACTGGGAAGACCGGAGGAGAGGGGGAGGGGAAAAGACGGTTGAGTTTGGGCGCCAAGGTTGGAGCGGTTGAAAGCGCTGTAAGGGAGGGGCCTGTGGTGGGTGGGG